AGGCTGGGGATTCGAACCCGCCACCTTAGGTGTATGTGGCTGGCGCCTTAGCCGGTTGAGCCACAGGCGCCGAGCCCAAAGCTGTAGCTTTGAACTCCTGGATTCAAGTGATCCTCCCAACTCAGCCTTCCAAAGTGCTGGGATTACAGACACTAGCCACTGCTCCCAGACAAATATTTTCTGCCTATTACATATGATAGTTTTTCTTCCTCCACAAACTGAATCTTCCTATGTGTCCCTGCTCTATTCAATTCCCGCTTCTTCTAAGACAGGGCCTGGAACAAAGGAGGCCATAGCAATGAATGTCAACGAAATAAGTGAATACATAGGTGAACAAGTGAATGAATGAATAATGAATTAAGTGAGTGAGTGAAAAGTAAGGAGAGAATGAGAGAATAAATGAACACAAAAATGAAGGCAGGAATGAGTGATTGATTAAATGAAATGAGTGGAATGAATGCCTATATGGGTCACAGGGTGACTAAGTACAAGGAGCCATATTGGGCAGTTTGCCCTTCGAAGAGCAGAGTGGGATAGGGCCACATATTCAATAAATGCAAGCTGAATGAGGGCGTGAGTCTGTGGTTGAACATTTATCTCAGTTGACCAAGGAACAGGAATCAGGAGGACTTAACAGGTGGACAACTGACCTTTCCTACGGGTCTCTTCGAACTCACGCCGGGCAGTCTCTATGTAGCGCTGTACCAGAGCCTTGATGACACGTCGGCGGTAGGATCCATGCTCTCCCTCCCCAGGCCCTGCCCCTGCCCCTGCCCCCGGATTGCCCTGGAATGGAAAGACAGGAGGGTGGCCAGGGATTCTCCACTCCCAGTCTTCTCTTAATCACTGCCCCCATCTCCTACTTTATCTACTAGGCAATAAAGGCCCAGAGCAAAGTCTGTGACAACTATTCTGGCCTGAGGGCCACAGGGCTAGACTCTGGTCTGTCCCAATCTCCCAGTGCAGTCCAGAAGGCAGAAGGTCAGCTGGGGAAGGGTCAACTGTGAGAGTACCAAGGTGGGGGTTGGGTGATGGCTGGGAGGAGAAGCCCCCACAAATCTGGCAGTAACCAGGTCTGAATTAGGAGGCGCCTGTCCAGGTGGATTGCTTGAGGTCAGAAGTTCTTTTTTTTTTTTTT